CCGGAGAATTCCATCCCACTCCTGGTCCCTGATTTGAATGGCTCTGACTTGGCTCGTCTTGGGAAGTGTGGATAATGCAATTCAGATTAATACCGTCTGCTTCGCTGCAAGGCAGCAGGGCTTTCCAGAGCGACTCGGGGTGGTGTGTGCCCACCGGCACGTACGGTCTAGGGACATTTTTCCAGCACACCCACATGACTACAATCCACAATGAAGAAGGCAGGAAGGTAGGGGATCTAGAGGGATGCAGGAGCCATAGGTCTTCGGATGGGAGCGACGGACGGGAGCAGTCAGGGAGGGCTTCGTGGAGGAAGGGGATGTTCCTGGTGGGTTTTCTTCGCGTTCACAGGTTAGAGGAGGAGGGCCTGACAGGCAGAAGGGAAATAAACGGAGACAGAAGCTAGACTGGGGCTGGCTTTGAGCACTGCTCGGCTTTCCCAGGACTGCGGCTCTGAGGCAGGGGGCGGCCGCAATGCATGAGCAAGGTGCTCGGCTGAGAAGTGACACTCGCCACGCCTTCCGGGTCCTGCATTACAGGATCAGAGGGCAGTGCCAGGGCTGAGAGATTAAGGAAGAGGCTGGACTTGGAGGGGCTAGCGAGGTGAGGCAGGGGACAGAGGGACAGATAAGGCTTCTTTCAGAGGGCTCAGGGACCCTGATCGTGAGTGTAACCTGTGGTAAGAGGGCACAGCAAATGAGACCAACCTCCTGGGAAGGGTGGAGAGGGCAGAGCCAGGCTGGCGTAGGGGGTGTCTGGGCAGCAGAAAGGGCTAGAATCTGGGGGGGCTCAGAGGCTGGGTGCCCAGCGCCGTGGGGACGATGAGGGCCAGGTTTGGGGAGATGCGGTCAGAACAGGATAAAGCCACAAACTGGTCAACAGAGGATAGTGAGGGCCACCACTGGCTGAGCACCCACGACCTGCCAGTGATACACACCTGCACCTGTGGGTGCCATAGCCCTACTGCTGTACCATACGGCGCGCCACACTACATGTGGGCTGTGCCCGATGCCTCCCACGCGCTCTCAGCCCCTGGTGCCCTAGACTCGTCCTGCAAGGTGGCAGCGGTGACTCGTGCTGAGATGCTCTGATTCCCTGGTTACGGCTGGCCTTGGAAATGGCCAAGCCCGGGAAGCCCAGGAGCTGTGTAGCCACGATGCCCTGGCTGACCCCGGTGACGTGAACCGGTGGGGCTCCGGCCCCGGGAGGAGACACAGGCCCTGAGAGTGGCGGGCCGTGCCTGAGGGTCGAGCCCAGCCCGGCAGCCCTGCCTCCTTCAGCGTCTCGGGTCTCATCGCCTCTCCACACCTGGCAGCCACCATGTCCCACTGACCCTGCCACCCAAGGAGCCTCGGGCCTCTGTCACCGTCCGCGTCCCACTGCCCTGCCCAGGCCGACCTTCATCACAGCTCTCCTGGAGCTACACAGCGCAGTCCGCGGCCCCCGAGA